ACGCAACAACCCAAAACACAGTAATCAGCTAGTGTTTAGGGCTTCTTGTTGCTGGATGGATTTAGCTTGGAGTATGATGATTTTGATCTCTGAAAAATTTCTTTCCCTCCACATCGTTTGAAAATTGTAATGGTTCGAAATTTTAATAATAAGAAATGGCAGTAGACGGGTTCTCCTCGTGGGATGAAACGTTACTTCTAATAAAGAGCCGAAACGAGATTAAACCTTCATATTCACATCGTAGCTCCTCCAGATCTGTTTTTTAACTTCGACGCTCACTCAGTGTTTGAATACCAAGTGACACTCAGCGTTTCCAAGCAGTTGGCTGTCCCTGGAGTAATTGACTCTGCTTTAGTTAAACAGTTGTTTGTAATCTTGCACGTGAATGTGTGCCTCTTACTTCGCACTTCATTTCGATCTTCGCCGCGGGTTCAATGGGATGGAGAGAGTCGGAACTCACAACTTTTCAAAGACTTATCGAAACTGTTGAGAATCTATTTTCTACCTGATACATAATTGTATAAATTAATCGCTTATGGGGTAATTTTTAGAATATCTTTGTGTATTCTTGATCTGACGCGTGCTTAGAGGCAGCGTCAGTTCACGAGGTTAGACCTAGATTATTAATGGATGCAAGGATCTATAAATAGGACTGAGTAGAGATTTCTAAACAACTTATAAATCATGTTAAATGTTGCAGTGTTTACACAAACACAAAAAATGGCGCATTGAGACCTTTATGACTAGGTTTCGATGTATCCTGGTTTCTCTGATGATTGGATTGAGAACATTGTAAAAGGGAAACGTACACATGTATGCTAGTGCATAATTTGAAGGCTGAATGCAGAGTACCACGAAGTATAGATGCAGGGTAACAAAAAAAATGTATGGCGCTTCGGTTCCAGATGAAAATCATCTCTACAAACTTCAGAAAATTAGTTAATACTTTTTTTCGCTTCAGAACGTATTTTTAGAAAAGTCTAATGCATTAGTTTAGAACTACATTATTGATCTTCTTCGAGCTGTGAAAGTAACTAATAACTATTTTAAGTAAGTTTAATCATAACTAATGTTTATTGTTTATGCTGAAGTCCTTATGATAGAGGCAGTGCGGTCCTCAAAGGCAGATTCAATAGCAATAATAAATTACAGTAAACATTTAAAATCAGTTAATTTTGATTATTGTTAAAGTATTTATTCGTCATCGTTACAATCAAATCTCTTTATTTATTACGACATATTTTATTGGCGTCACTCCATAATATTTATTAATATTATCAAACTAGAATTATAACTCTGTGATAACACCGAGTACCGTACCATTGGTGCATAATTAATAAACTTCCTGGTTTTCTGTAAAAAAATACTACTAAAAATAATGCCTTACCGAAGTTTATAACGTATAACGAGGTCCTAACTTCAGTTTTCTGGCACATCAATTATCTCGATAATTCTTACTCGTGGTTCAAGCGCTAATGTGTGTTTTTATTCACAGGTTTATCCTGTCCCCTGTATATATATATATGTCTGATGTCATTATCAGACATTAAAATAGAATACGCCCACATTCCGTTCCTACATTACCAGGGAAAATGCTTTATAATTCTTCCTATGTCTTCGTTACAGTATCTTCCAGTACATAATTTATATGCTGGTTTTCTGACCAAAATACTTTAAACTGATACTTTGGTTTTACTCCCGTTTTCATGCGTCTGTGTGTTATATGCTGACAAGTTTCTGCTGATTTTGTTTTTTAGATTAGTGACAACGATGGGAAACGTAAGCAAAACCCTTTTAATTCATGCCTTGTGTAAGCTAAAGGCTTCCGGATATAGATCGTCGTTGCATTATGATAATTTGTCTCGGAAGTCAAAAGAAGAATAAATCCCCAAAACAGGGCATACTGTATCAAATAAGTTTGTCCAGCATTTGTGGTACAATTATTTCCAGAAATGTAAGTACTCTTCTATCCCTAAATTATTGCTCTGAAAGCCGGGTTCCCGTGCCCTTTTGTTGCGGTTTAATACAAGGCCCCCAGATTTTGCGTGCCGAAACTGGTCGGTAGATAAAATGGGAACCATAGTACCGAGCATCGTACAGCTTCCCTGCCAGGGATTCGAAATATCAGAATGCTATATACAATCAATGACTTGATATATTTGTCATTATGACAGTTACCTAAATCAAAACAAAAACAACAAATGAAACACTAGACGATTCGTAATATAAAATCAAAAAGGAAAACCATAATTCCTATATCAACAATAAAACTTCACTATAATAATTTAGATATATATAGACTTCAAGATACAAACTAGCACAAATTAAATTATGCGTGTAAATAGAAAATATATGTATACTGTATGTTGTAGTAATATATTGTGTTACATTTAGCTATCTTTATAAAGTGTTAATTTTGTGTACCCTGTCAAATGGTGTTACATTGTTAGATTGTAGTATAAATAGTAAAAGGAATATATGAAATACCCATATATTATTCACACACACCAACTTAGCGATCAAAGATCTGTGAGCACCTGTCTGCTGAGAATTTATTTCGTAATGGTAGAACGCGTCCATGTTCTCTGTTGGATATGGAATTCATCCGAAATTAATCCAGTTTTACTTCTCATCATTATTAACACGCATTAACCTCCTGGTCTCTTCCTACTCCTTCCATCCATTTTTCGAAAGTACCCGATATCTTTTACTCTCCAGTCTGTATTAATAGTCTACAGCAGCAGTTTTTGAGATTAAATTTTGAGGCATTAAATCACTTTTATTAATTTGTACATTTGTAACAGATTGCAGAAATTATAAAATTTTGTGAAGAGAAATGCGTCCTTAAAATATATCACCCTAAAGAGAACTCACAAAGTTTATGAACCCTGAAGACAAGTAAAGCCCTCGTCGATAATCTAACAGCCATTGAACTGATTAAGACATCCTGCTGTCCTTTGTCAATTCGACGTTTCACTGATGTGTTTGAAAAACTTCGCTTGTGTCGAATGATATTAGTGTATACGTTACTATTCCTTCAACGCTACTTTATTATTACTCTCTCATCGACTCTTAGGCTTCTTAAGTGGTTTATTTCTTCAGTTTCTCCTACCAAAATTACGTATTCATTTTTATCTCTCTCATGCTTGCCATGTTTCTCACCAATTTTGTTGTTCTTGCCCTAATAATATTTGATGAGTATAAATTATTAAACTCCTAATTTTTTTCAAATTTCTCCTTCATACAGTTACTTTGCTCCTTAATATCAACATTCTCCTTAACATCGGCAATCCATGTACTGACAGTAATGTAAAGATTCCTTAAACTTAAGTACGTATATAGAAGCGTGTTTTGTCACGGAATGCGTCATACTGTCATCACCAGTTCAGTATGCAAATGCTTCTACTTGAACTATGGGTATTTCATGTGAATTATTTCCCCAGCCTTGGTATGCAAGTTTGTCATAAACAAACTGACAGTATTAGACACACTGTTTATCATTTGTGTCCGTTAATTAATAAGAAATTACACTCATTTAGAATATGTTTTTCCAAAGCAGTAATAAATTTTCCACAGAATTTTGTGTTACTTTACCTGTTTTTTTTTCCGTATTGTGTGATTGGTATCAACAAGGCAAAAGTGATGCAACACACAAATATACCTCTCTTGTAAAATATCCTGACATTATAACATGAGTAAAAAGTAAAATCTACCGACAGAAATCGGCCTCTATGACAAAATTCAGATGATCAATTTGGAAGGACTCAAAACTCTTACAGTATACACAGTATTTTATTTGAAAAACAAAGTTTTAACCACGTTATGTGCCAAGTAGTCAGAAAAAAGTAAAAAAAGAAAAGTTTTAGAAGTTGGTAGTGCCTTGCTTCACTTTTGCTGTAATCGGTATCGATGTGAGGAAGAGATCGGCCTAAACAAAAGTGACGTGACAGTGCGTTATTAAATGTCTTGCTCATTTTGGCGTTTAGAAACAGCGTAAGGTTTTGGATTATAAATAACTGTTACTATTATGACTGTAAAACGAACTTCAATGCAGGAAACTGGAACAAACGATTGGAGTTGATTTCAACATCGTGTTGTGAATTCTATTGGTCTACACTTATCGTGCTGGAATAAAATTGCTTTTGAAATATTCTGCAGGACATTCTTCAGGTGAACCCAAACAAACTAAAAACCTCCTTTATCAAATTTTTGTTAAAAGTTTTATTTTGTTGCAGAGTGAATAGTATTTGTATTATAATAGGACCAAACCAATATATTATAATGATATGTTGGTGAAAAACGTGCGTAATATCCTTATTCCTTTTAAAATGCTTTATCATGTTCTGGAATGTGCACACAATTTTTTCTTCTTCGTTTCTCGCTTATTTATTTTTGGTGAACATTTGATCACGCAGATCTTGGACTATAAGTCACATCTTGTCTTATGGAAAGATTACAAACTAAATAATTTACTAACTCTTCAGCATGGTAATAGCAGCAGTTATTATTATTATTATTATTATTATTATTGCTTTATATGTTTAATTATCAGTCTTATATTCACATTTAGGAAGAAGATTGATACAGCTAACCGACGACCTTAAACAAGGAAGGAAGATGACGTTCCAGGAATTAAAGCGAGAAGCCGAGAATAGGGACAACTGGAGAGCTCTTTTCGGGCAGAGCAATGGACCTGTCGTAAGACAGAACACTTAATAATAATAATAATAATAATAATAATAATATTCACATTAGATTTCTCTCATATTTTACACGTTTACGTCATCAAACAAGTGTATAAACACAATGAACCCGAATAGCTTAGTTATTACATGACTGGATACGGGGTTCGATTCCCAGCAGAAGCAGGGTTTCTTCTTTTCGCCATCACATTCACCCGTTATCATATCCGGTGGGAACTTGAAGATCTTTTCCCGTTAGTAAAGCGACCTGAACGTCAAGCTGAACACGTCCATTTACTTCGGTTGTTAAGAATAGGTAGAATTATACTTCCACTCCACTTCATCTTTGTTGCGTGAAACTCGATTCATTAAGCTTAGAATGTATGAAAATGAACTATTTATATTAGTGCAATGTATGGCTTTGGAAGGGTTTTTTTTTTATTTAGTGTGCTTCTGATTAAATAAAAGTAAACTGTTCTTGAGATCCGAAGTTCTCAAAGCGGTGAACATGTCGATGTTGATATTTCGGGTTGTAACGCCTTGTGGACTTGTAGGTAGATACGAACGTTTCAGAGAAATATGTTGTCTCAATCTTCAGAAACCTGTAGGAGGAGACTGTGTCATTTCGAAACGGTATCTGCTGGTCTAATATCCGGTGCCTTCACTGAAATAACAGAATGAACTTGTCGCTTCCCAGCAGAAAATGCTATAAAAAGGAATTAATTTAATAGGTTTTATGGAGGGATACTTGAGTCATGTCGGGAAAACATCGTAGCGCTTGGCTGTAAGTCATGCGGCTTCTGGTAGGTGCCGGAGTGACAGATACTTTCCAGTATATCAGAGAACGCACTGTATGACCCAACATCGGAGTGCGGACCTGATTTTGCATCGTCCAGCCGTGTCTTTCTGGTAATGAAATGTTTGTTGCCGTCGTGTAAGATGTGCAGACAGTAAAAGGTGCGAAGGTCTGCCGCTGTTTGCAGTAAAATGAGTTACCAAGTGCATTTTTATTAACATTTCACATACCTCATTGAATTTATTCTTCTTCCGTTGCAAATAAACATTTAATAAACAGTGGAGATTTGCACAAGAAACTCTAAATTATTTTTCTTTAAATTTTGTTAAATGTAGTGCAAAATACCGAAATATGTTTAAAGTGAACGTTACAAGAACATCTGCATTTACATGTCAGGTTTATACATACAGTGAGTTGTACGTAAATTCTGTTCTTAATGTGCATTGAGTGTTGAAATTCAGAATCAACTGACTTATATAGTAGAGTCCTTTAGTTACTTATTTTAGTATTGCCCTTCCATCAACTCTCGTGCCTTAGGTTTTTTGACTGAAATACAATTAAATTCACGTGACAGATTTTAGTGTCTGGATCAGATCCGAAGTTCGTCGAAATTCGGGAAGTGATTTTGGAGATAAAATATAAAGTTATGAGCTGCCAAAATATCCACCCCGATTGTGCATTCACTTTACTAACTCTGTGCGTCGAACTCAGAAAAACTGCCTTTTTTTTATTTTGACTGACGGCAATTTTTAAAGGGAGTCGGTGCAAATCGCACCGCTTCGTCCATTATTCTCGCGTGATGAAGACTTCATATAGTTGTGATGATGTGCTCTGAGCTGTGGGCCCGCAGAGGACGGGCAGAGCCAGCAGGAGACGTCCAAATCGCGAGGGTTGGTGGGGTGAAGACTGGGCAGCGTAGTGTGCAAGAGCGACTTGGGTTCGGTCCTGGATCGACTCCAACCGCTTAGCATCCTCCGTCGTCACCGCTAGGTCTGGTGGAAAAACATCACCTTTACTGCTACTGGTTGATTCTTGATTTATTTACTGAATTTTTATAGTGAATTGGCTAAATCTTCGACCGAGTATCAGGTTCTGACGGCGGCGAACTATTTACGAAGTTTGGAATGAAAGTTCATATCTCAGGTGTGTTTATGTTTATACACTAAAGTCGAATTTGTATTCTGTATCTATCGGTAAAGCTGCATTTTATATGACTGAGAATTTTTCCTACCAGTGAATGGTATTTTAATGTTTTCTTTTAATTCCCTAAACTGGAGTACTTAGAGTCTAACGTAATAAATTACCTTTTCTACATAAAATAAGAGTTTCCAGCAGTGAAAGTTCCACTGCGTCCAATTGCAGATTCTGGCATAGTTCAAGCGATCTCCGCAACAATCTGCTTGTACTGTTGGGGCTGGCGCTGTTGTTAGCAGCCTTCGAGATGTGGCCATTATTAAGAGCCCTCCGTATCAAGGCGGAGACGTCTATTGGCCAGTAGGCCGCATGAAGGAGGAATAACTCGTTCCACACATGACGCAGAATGCAGTCCTGGTCCGATCTCGACAAAATACCAAAATGTTCGTTTCTTCGAGCTTGTCGTAGACTTACCAGTAATATCTGTGCTGCTATTTCGTGATAGAATTCACCTGAAAATATAATCGAAATTCATGTCTTAGTTCTCTGATAGAATTTATAAACATGTTAACGCTTGTGTGTGAATGTTAAATTTTTAGTATTACTTCAGATTTTAATTTACTGCTGATACAGGGTTATAACCCGTAGAAATAATACGCTACATGACATCACTAATTAATGTACAGTGTACATGTAATGTACATTGCAATTTAAAATTGTATAGTCCCAACTACGTCTGTAATTTTCCTTGCATTTAGTTTAAAACACGTCGTTCAAAAAACGCTTTAAATAATCATGGCACGTTTTAAACACATTAGAAATTTACGATGTGCTTACATTGATTTTCGTGTAGCCTAATACAGTGTGAGTGGTGTACCGATAAGGACCAAAATTAATTTCACAGCACAAAATATTTATAGGCATTCCAAATTATTGATTCATTTTATGTGATAGGGTCTAACGGGGAAGAAACTTTATGGAATTCTGTATTTAACTCGTCCTATACTGTAATGTTTAACCTGCGTTAATTATTACTTCATCTTCTAGCAAAATATTTTTTGACAAAAAATCATTTCCCTAACGACATGCTTCTGTTATTAGACCATCAGTACGTGGATGGTCATCGTAATACATAAAATAGTATAATTAATATATAATTAAAATATTGAAACTCTTATCACCATTTATCTCAATGCTTCCCTAAACTATTGTAATACGATAAAGTTATATCGTTATTGAAAGTTGGACATTATATGTTGTTACATCAGTGATCGCCAAACATCATCGCGGACACCTAGGCATAAAAATATTCATAATAAATTATTGACTAGTCACTGATGATCGGAAAGCATTCGGTGATTTTCGCTCTGTGAACTGAATATCTATCCAGTGGCATCTTAAAGGAAAATGATTTCATCGATTCGTTATGAAATGGAGTGTGTTAAAGCAATATTTTGAAGAAGAAAATCCTTGATGTTGTAACACAAGATACAAGTCTGTTCGTACTCTAATTATTTCAGTCGGCATTGTTTGACAGATTAATACAATGCCCAATGTAAGTCGTACGCTTCAACTAATTTCCCGTTACTGACGAAATGTTGGACATCCCTGGGGTAACGCATGTCGTATTCATGTCATATTCACAGCGGCAATATTCTACAAAGTTCCGACAGCGCCCGATTTTCTTGTGATTAACCTACATCTACTGCCAATACGTATTTATTTAAAATTATTCGCTCATTTCCTGTAATTTACGCTGTTTAGACGCAAGGCCCCAGTAGGTCTGGCGTAAAATAACCTCTGCCTTGTGATCTCTTTTCAAAAAACCTACAGAACATGTATCAATGTTTCAGATGAGTTGAATACCTTGGAGTCCTCTGGTAGGCACTTGTAATGCAACCGTGGGGAAAGCGAATGGAATTGTTTCTCTGAGTAAGCTGGCTTCGGGTGTCACTTTCTTGAAGGGACTGGTCCCTTCTGCATGGTGCATGGCGCTCCCTCCGAGGGCCGAGAACGGGGTCGCGTGGCACAGAACGGCCCCTACAGCTGATCGGTAGCAGGGCGTCGATCGTGACGATGTTGAACTACTGTTCATAGTTTTACACTTGTTTGACTTCCGAGGACCTCTTTCCTCTTGGACGGCTGCAAGAAAATAGCTTTATTAGAATGGTTACGAGAATATGACGGAACTTCAATCTGGAGTAAGCAGAGTTTCCAAATACGTTCTTTATTTTTACTAACTGTGATAAAGTTCAACATCGCCGATATCAAATCCCACTGTGGTAACAATAATCGTGAGCCAGTCCTCGCCTATCTCCTTAGCATTCATCTTGCTATTATCCTGCCATGTCCTCGGTTTTTACAAATGGTCATTTCACAGGACGTTTCCCCAACTAAACCTCGTATGCTCATGGTTTGATCATTGTAATCCCCCCCCCCCCCCCATGTAAATTACACTCTCCTTACAACAGCAGGTGACCTGTTAAGTTTCTCTTTATGAAATATCCTAATGTGTCACTTACTTTGTCCTTAGAATCGAATATTTTCGTGATCGCTTTGTGTTCAAACACGTCTAATGCATATTCTTCTCAAAAGTAACAGGTCACGTTTCATATCTTTAGAAAACAAACTGGAAATATTATTGGGTATCTGAATCTGGTCTACCGTCTGGTATTCAGAAATGAACAAAGATTTCCGAAAACTGAATCTTTTTGCGTTGTCAGGTGAAAATTACACATTCCAATATTTTAATACATTTAAACGTCTTTTCTTACAATCCTATCTGAACTGTGATTTCTTTTTGTAACCATGTGAATAAAACATGAATGTCAGTATAGTAAAATTTTAAAATGCGCTTGTTTATAAATCACGTCACGCCCGCGTACGGCATGATTCGAAATGCTGGCTGCAGACTGCATAATCAATATATCAGGCGGTGTGAACGTGGTCTGGGAACCAGTGGGCTGTAATCATGAATATTAAAGTTCCCACCAATAATTAATGCCACATTAGTCTGTGTAGAGGACAGTGAATTATGTAAGGTTTATTTCGGTGTGAAAAGAATGTGCTGTAAATAAAGGTTGGACCGAAGGGTAACACTTTGTCAGGGTCATTGATAACGTGACACGTAACTGAGATAATTACTTTGAACACCTATAATAAATGAACACTTCATTTATTTATTGCCAGTTTTGCAGGCCGGTTGCTAACAGAGGCAACCCTACAAACATTTAGGTAGTAGCTCAGTGATATTAAAGAAATACAACCTTCTTTCCTTTTCTAGCCCCCTTTACACAAAGTGTATAAAATTAATGCATAATAGGGTGGTCATGTCTGATTGCTATCTTTTCTTACTTCCTAAATCATTTGATAGATTCAAATTTAATTTAGTATTGATGTTCTACAGTTGCCCGGCGAATTTAATATCGGTGTAGATTAGCCAATTGTTAACAGCTTACGTTACGTTAATCCTATCTCTAGGATTGTCGGTAAACCGAGGGGAGAATGTTAGAGCAAAACCCTTACCAAAGTGACATGGTGATACCGGGGTACCTTCGCCGAGAAAATCTTGTAAATTTATATGTTTATTAAGCCATTTAATTATACAATAACTTTGAACTTGAGATGGACTAATCAGACTGAATATGTGTATTTTGACAATAAAATTCTCTTGTAAATAATTTATTATTAACATTTCATAAACAAACGTAAGTAATCAAAAATACCTGGTTAGTATTACCTATGGTTGAAAACCGTATAAAAATGTTGACATTTTTTGAAAAGTAATCAAAAAATTTAAAATAAAGAAAATTTCTGTCTTCTGGGTTGTTGCGCTGTGTAGTCTGGTAGATGTTTACCAACGTTTCAGAGGTCATACTGCCTCCGTCATCAGGGCGATGAGTATGAAGCTTTCTGTCTTCTGGGTTGTTGCGCTGTGTAGTTTAGTCGATGTTCATCAACGTTTCAGAGGTCATACTGCCTCCGTCATCAGGGCGATGAGTATGAAGATTTCTGTCTTCTGGGTTGTTGCGCTGTGTA